CAGTCCTAGAAGTTCTGCTTAGATAACTTTGGACTAATTATTTAGGCTTGCTATTTTGTTTCCCTCACATGTCAAACAAAAGCACTAGCAAAATGTCTGGACAATCACACTGGAGAGCTAATTCTGTTTACATTTTGGGTTGGTTAGCAGTCTGAGCGGACTTTTACTTCCCCTTTTTGCTTTTAAGTTTAATAAAGTTTAGTGTCCTCATTTGTAGATACATCCTATTTAGAAAGGAACTTTTAAGTATATTAGAGGGACTGGTAAAACAGTGTAAGGAAGCAATATGTTGAAGTTAATTTTGAGTAGTTGGTGATACACTTGAGCTCTCTTTCTGTTTTCTACCCTGAAGTGGGATTGAGACCTTGTTGTCTAATGCAGTGTATCCGTTGTGCTGAGGTTTGCAGAATGATTTGAAACATCTGCGTTAAGGTTCATTTGCTGTTCTGGTGAGTTAGCATACATATGTATGTATATATAAGCTATAGAGCAAAATGCAGAATTTAAAACCGGAGGTTTACCCTAAATTCTTGGTTTTGGTGAAACAAATTTCTTAGTAACATTAAAAAACCCTCCACAAACCAAACAAACCTGATGGTACAAGTTAATAAGAAAACAGTGTTTAAGGTACAATGCATGTAAAGTATTTTTGAAATAAGGTTTTGCGTTCTTTAAATAACAGTATTTTAAGTCCTGTAGTCAAAAAGTAAACTAACTTTCAAATAGACCCATGTGTTTATGATTACAGGTTATGCTGTATCTGTATTTTACCACTATAGCCAAGCCTAGTATGTTACAAACTGTACAGAAAATGGTAATTAAATATATCAGCCATTTGCTTTGTCATAGCAATAGTTAATAAGTTACTTGGATGGAAAAGTAAGGTAGGGATTATCCTTGCAAATTACAAGAAGTACTTTGCTATGGCCGCCTTGCTGATGAGAGTAATTCACCTCCTGCTTTGATCACTTACATCTCCTTTTTTTGAAATACTTGATATGAAACACTGTTCTCTCATAATACTAATAATGAATGATAGTGTAATACAATATCACAAAAATAATTGTAATGAAACCTTTCTGCAAGTGATTTGCCATTAAGAAATGATTTTTGTATTCTCACATCAATGTCCCAAAATAGTATAGGGAAA